CGGACCAGAATGTCATTTAAGAACCAAAATGGCACCATGTCTGGCTCAGTTACACCTACAGCAGAGTGGAAGGTGGACTTCATGCAGCCTTGCAGGAGCATTTGGCAGCTTGTAGATGCGACGACGGGTGCAGCTTCACCCCACTTGCAGGACGTGTGCATATGTGACTCTTTACTATCTACTTTTCATGTCTTGCAGGCTGCATCTATGACAATGACTGAGAAGGAGCCACAGAGTTTTACCACTGTTCCCTAGTGTGGTGGCTGTTTGTTTGTGTGGTGTGTGGTGTCTCAAAATAATTTACTGTGCATGAATGCAAGAGAATTATGGAGCATGACAATATAACTGAGACACTCTGTACAAGCGTGTTCTACAAAAACAAAACAAAACAATGATCGGGGGATGGGATTCCTGCTAAATATTTGAAGCCCATGGTGTTGGACAGAGAGTAAAAGTCAGTACTGGCCAGCTATTTTTAGCTGTATGGCATATCTTATGCCCTGATACAAATGTTGTGGGAGTGAAAATGTTCTTTTCTTACTCTTAAATAATTTGGCATTCAGTATTACTTTCATCCCTTTATTCACCTGGACATCTTCACACCTGTGGTCTAGGCTGAGGGTCCCGTCCTGTGGTTTCAAACCACTCAACATTGTTTCTGATTGACCAAATTTATAATAAAGTCTCACTGTAACTCTGATTACTTTTTCTGACTTTTGCTATTTGCTTTTAATGTATTTGATAAAATGTCATATTTAAATGTTCCATCTATTGAGAGGCACTTTATTTTTTAGCAAAGAACGAACATGGCAATGTACCTCTTTTCTAAAATACTGTTTTCAGTTCCATTGGTAGTGTGGCTTTTTGAAAATACCTCCTACAAATATGAAACCAGCTGAATTACTGTTTCTATTTTCAGTAAAGGAGACCCTGAACGTGTGAATGTGGCAAACAGGGTAATATGTACCTCTATTCGGCATATAGCTCAGAGCTGGTCAAAGTCGTCCGTACTGAAATTAGTTTTGCAGGACAACTGTTGTCCACTTGGTGATGCTATGGAACAAGCAGAAAAAGCCAAAAAAGGATGGATTCTACACAGTCTCTCCAATTCCAGACATCCCAGGTAAAATAGAGATTTTACTTCAAGTCATTTACTACGAAAGGGGAACAATTTAAAATGAATCTAAAAATGTAGGCAACACCTATGATCACAATTTAATTTGGTATACGATTTAATCCATACTGAAGTACAACTGAGAATGCAGGGTCAGCCTGTACTGGAGCAATTGGGGGCTAAGGGCCTCCCTGAAGGACCCAATGGGGTTTTAACTGAACCTTCTGATCACGGGTAGAGTCCGCACTCGCAGAGGCGCACAGCTCCCCCTACCGAAACGTGTGTAAATTGGGTCTATACATCCAGCAGAAAACGCATGGACCCGCGTTCAAAATAAAACACTTAAATTTAATTGTTAGCGTTACATTTTTAAAATACTTCCTTCAAATATGAAACAAGCCGAATTACGTTTTCTAAAATAGAATAGCTTTATTACTGTTCTAATTCAAAACCCTATCACGTAGCACATAATTCTTGATTAGAGTGTGCATTCGTTTAAAACGTACCTGACATCGTACACTCACAAAGTAGGACAACCACATGAAAAGACATGACAGTGAACCAGTCTAACAGGGCATTTAATTCTTTTGCGTACTCTAATGAATTCATATTTCATTTTAATTTGTTTCGAATAGCAATTCCTAATTGGATTTTCGTGTTAACTGCAGTGGAAGCACATTATGAAAAATCCGTTTATTTTCCACTAGATGCATTTTCCAGTAGGCCTTTCTGCGGAGAGCATTTGTTAGATATAACAGAAGTGTATAAGCTGACATTAAACTCAAAAGAAATACTGACGTTAATTAGCAACTGATTTAGTTTTCTCACAAAATCAAACCCAAAAAAACCCCGAAATTGTGTTTCTTGGTCTCAAATATTACATGCATGTTATGTATGTTTATTTTTGATTGCTATAGATTTTAAATAGCACACGAAATATCTCAGAAGATCGACTACATCCCATTAATCTCTGCCACCAGGTGAATAAACCTGCCAGCTGCGCACTAAAACGATGAGGCTCTAAAAACACTACAGCTGCAAGAAAAGTGGTTTTTGAAACTCGCCGTGGTTGGGATTTGCCGGGCGAGGCCAGTCATTGGTTTAGCTGACCTGTCAGTTGCTACTACACTGGGTTGTCATTGGATGAAGTAGACGGTGATTGATAACACACTCAAATCCCCGCCTACCACAGGATTCCGAAGTCTCGCTTCCCTTACCTTTTTCTCTCTCGCGATAGTTCCCGTTGTTTCCGGTGTTGCGAACATCCCTGTAAACATGGCGGGTAGCATCCGCAGCCGTCCGATCCGGAGTCTTCGGATGCGAGGTGAGCTGGGCTGGAGGCAGTCGCCGCATGCGTTGGCTCCCCGCTGCCCGCCTCTTCAGGCAACGTCTGACATGTCTGGCGTCCCGGTTGTTGGCGTTTTTCGCGCTCACCAGCGATCTTTGTTTTTCTGTTTGTCAGGTCGGAATGACAGCGGAGAGGAAAACGTACCGCTCGACCTAAGCAGAGGTGAGGATGAGTGAGGAGGGGGGCGAATGTTGGGGAGGGGGGCTTGTTGTTGTTGGTCTTGTTGTTGGTGTTGTTGTTGTTTTGGGGTTGGGTTAAAAATAAGCGAGCAGCATGCGGCTTCATGCTTACATCGATTTTATGCCATAACATCCCAGCACTGGGGCGTAAGATGTAGCCCTGCTGACCGCCTTGGTTGTTTTGACTGGCCGGTTAACCAGCTCCGTTCACCATGCTCACCTGCGCAGCCGCTGGATTAACGTACCGCAGACGGGCTGCGAGGCGAAACCCAGTCCGACGGTGCCGGTGGCCGCAGTGTGTGGCTGCTGATGCGTGAGGCACTTCGGCTGCTTCAACCGTTTTTTTGGTGCGTGGGGAGGGGCGGCGCTGGGGGACCACGGAGGACCGCGGGCAGGGCTTGACCCGCTTCGGACCACCGTACATTCGTGACGGCGGGTGGGGAATCATTTTGGGGTTGCCATACCCCCTTCTCCAATGAGACTGCATCGTGTTTACTATTCTGTGCGTTTTTTAGCGTCTGTTTGAGCCCAAGCTGCCCGATGTGGCACCCCCGATCTGTTGGTCGTGCGTGAGGGGTTTTGGTTATCAAAATAAAAACGTGTCCACAATGGCTGACACAGCATTGCTAAAAATACCCCTCCCCTCCACCCCTGTTCATCTGCGGCAGGGATAAACACATTGACGGTGCCCGGGCGTGTTGCTTGTAAACATAGCCGTAGCGCTGGGAAATGCACGGGGGGTGGGGGGGTTGGTTAAGAGCCCATCAGTTAACCTGGTAACGGTGTCATAATATTTACAAGTCACTACGGAGACACTAGGCGTCGGGTGTGATGCTGCGCTCTGTGGATCTCTGTTCTCCGGTTAATAACCCACCAGATGCGACATTTATTCTGTCCATCTTATAAATCTGTTCCTCGCAATCAGATTGCAGACGGCGAGTCTATTGCGACGAGCTTTCTGTACGATGTTTTGCAGTTGCATTCCCAGCAGCCGTTTTCCGATAGACGCCTCCAACACTAATTCTCCTGCCTTTCCTTCAGATTTCTACCGGAGATCATTATAATTTGTCCTGAGCTTTGTTTTCTTAAGGCAGTGCTCGAGTTATGTAACCAGTCCTGTGGTTCCCAGTTTCTTGAAAGGTAGACGGACAGCGTCACCATAATCGTGTCAATAAAAAGGACATTAACGGGGTCTTTACAACATGCACTGTAGGTTTATAACCGAGATGCTTTGTCTCAGTGTTTGCAAAAAAACGTACATTTTGCTATTTAATAATGCAGGGTCATCTTAAATACCTTCAGTCAAAATATGTTGGAATCTGTGATTGATTGCATGGCTTGGAAGTTGATTAAAATATTTTCCCATAAATCAGATGACCGTCTGACATTTATTTACTCAGTATAAAATGATTTCTGTACCAAGTAATGATCAGAGAGTAGAACTGGCTTGTGTCCCTTACTCAAGGGTCCAAGGGTGATCCGATTTGTCTGTTGGCCATGGGACTTAAACCTACAACCTTCTGGATATGGGCTCAAATATCTCTGACACACTTACTGTCAACCATGCAAGTAGTTATATCTCCCACCCTGCTTTTGCTTTTTTTAAGCATTTGCATTATGTTTGTACTGCAAACAGAAGTACCTTTTAGTGAATCTCTATTTGTCTGAAGACCTGCCAGACCGCCTTTCAGTCTGGGGGGACAGTCTGCATGTGGCCTGTTCTCTTACATAGGTCCATTATGTAAGATTATGTTGTTGTAGACTGTAGCAGTGTCCCCGGTCCAGAGTGGCTCAGTGCTGCTGGTTAGGTTAGGGGGTGGGGGGGTATGTGAAATAAACTCACAGCACCATGGCAACACTGTGAAGGGGTGACCAGATTAGTGACAGCCTCTCTGCCTCCCCCAGGCCTCCTGTCTCTCTTTTTATCCCACCCGAGTGAGTTTCTAGTTAAACTATGCATTGGGGTGCGCTGGGGGCTCTCCCCCCGGCAACTGTGCATCTGTGACCTTTACCGTTTCCCTTTCGGTCCCCAGGTCCCTCGGACAACTTCCGCGAAATCTTGCAGAATGTGGCCAAGCAGCGAGGTGTCAGTAACATGCGGAAGCTGGGCCACCTCAACAATTTCATCAAGGTAGGTCTTCGCGCCTGTCTGCGCGCCTGTCTCAGCGCCGGTCTGCGCGCCTGTCTCAGCGCCGGTCTGCGCGCCTGTCTCAGCGCCGGTCTGCGCGCCTGTCTCAGCGCC